ACAAACTTATTAAACAGTTCCATTACAAAATTACTCAGCTAATAAATATAAACAAACACTCCTTTGTAAAACTCTTGAGTTACTAAAGTTGTCTTTTACCAACTCTATTGGGCTTGAACCCTACTTTAAAACGCTTGAATATTACTGATCGGTTGTTATTTTCATTACTTTCTGTTCCCCCTTTTTTCCCCTTGATTTTCCTTTTCTCTTCGTAAGAATTTTGCATTTGATTCCTAATGCGTACTACTTATGGCTGCTCGCATAAATAGCACACACCATAGAATCATAGGACTGCTCTAACATCATAGCAATCTTTTCCGGTCAAGTCAACCAATTGAAGTTTGACAAAGAATACAAAAATCTGAAATGGCAGCCGCCAAGTTAAGTTGTGCAGTAAAATAAGACTAAAACAGTCGGTAAAACGCAGTGAAAAAAGTAACACAATAAGAAAACCAAAATGTTAAGAAAAAAGGTCAACAAAAATATTTATTGGAACTAAAATAAACAGAACGAATAAAGTATCATGCACTGAACATAAGTACAAGCGAATAATATAGCAATATTCAAACGATAATCATACGATGGGATTAAATAATCATTTATGGTGTTGTTAATAGATTCTGTTTTCCTTTCTATTGCAGGGCGACATAGAACAAATGCTTCAGAAGAATAAGAGCAAGCTCTGAATGCACTGAACTCACAGCATGACTCATAGGACTGTTTTGTAAACTACCTCTCCTTTCTGTGCATAACCGCGAATTTTAATTTTCAAAATAGACGACTGGTGGCTTCATTCTGTGTTCTCTCTCCTGGTGTAAAGTGCTCGGTTAACGTTGCGTGTTATGGTTTCAGGTCTTTCCCGCCTGTCAGTGACTGTGGATTACACGTGTTACAACTGGTTATGGAGGTGTCTACGTAAAAATGAGACGAAAATTTAGACGAACCCCCTTTGATTCCGATCAAGACTGCACCTGGTTCAACCACCCACCGACCACCACTGCTCGAAACTTCGTCAAATTATTCTGTCTGGAAATTTAAAGTCACAGCGTATCTATAGAGAGTTACAGTGTCCGAACATTTCAACTACCTCGTATCCTATTTGAGTGATGAAGCAGTACGAAGTGATACAGCTAATGGTTTCGCGCAAGTGACACGCTTACACAAAGTTGGAGAGTCTTAGATGACTGTTTTTCCGTGCTCGTGGACGCCCAACAGGTGACGATTCAGTCCTTATCACGTCACCAAAAAGTAAGCGAGAACCCAATCGACTACCTTAATTCCTTGCAGAAAATTGCAGTGCTGGCATTTCCTCGTTCAGATGTCATTGGACGAGAGGAATTAGTACGTTCACGTTTTGTCGAAGGGCTGGTACCGTGTCCACAAAGAGAACATTTTCTTCGAAGCCCACCAATTGATACACCTGATTCAAAAACAACAACACTCCGCACACAAACTAGCGAATTTTTCAGATGCACATTAACCATCAGTGATGACTATGGAACGAGTCACTGAATCTTGTGGCCTGGACAGTTTCCAGAGGACAATGGCTGTTACCAACTTTCCAGCCGGGGCACCAGTCGTGGGCAGCCAAGTTCGAGATGGAATAGACGACCATCATGAGGCGACTACCATGGTTGTCAAGCTGGATGCACGTATTGCAAGAGGTTTGGCAGAGATGCCAGGAGATGCGGCCACAACCGTTCCAGTAAACCAGATAAACGGCATCTTTGCTATTTATCTTCTTATGTGAATCATGTCGACCCGATTACGTTTAGGGGTATAGTGAAAAACGTTGAGATAGAAATACTGCTAGACACAGGAGCTTCGGCACCTCTTACCAAGGGAGAGCTCTTAAGGAAGCGTAACCATACAACTCAACAAAGTCAATGTCTTTCTACGTTACTCACAGCAAACGGTGCTGTGCTCTAAGGCGTGGTTAGACCTTACGATAGAAAAACATCAGTTTCGGCATGAACTCTTAGTTTGTCCAACGTTAACTTGTGCTAGGTTTGAAGCTATCACGAGTTTACTTAATCTGCAGACGAGAACAAGAATCGATGACCAAAGACCAGTAAGCTAGCTATTGATACGTCCCAGCCCAGCCAACTAGAGGGAAAAGTCCCAGGTTGGAATGGGAAATATATTCTGCGAAACAAGCAGAAACGAGCGATAACAACAAACACAATTCAAAACGTATGTATACAGTGCAAAACCGTTTTTGGGGAGAATTACCAAATAGCATACTAAAAGACGCAACGGACCAATAGCACTTAAGATATTTCCCAGTGAGAAATACGACATGAAGGTGACAAGAGCGCCTTCGGTGCGAAAACAAAGAAATTCAAATTTTCTAGATAAATTACAAAATTAGGTCCTTTTCCAAGTGAGTTCTGGAGATCTAACGTCCCCAAGAACTTGGGACATGACTCTCATCGTTGATTTCATATTAAAACACCAAGTCTCTATATTCAGGGATAGATCGGAAGCAAAAATTGGTGATGCTATAGTACACCTGCACCACTATGAAATGCTAACTAAATCTATACCCCATGTGGGGATTTCAGAACTTGTACGTCAGATACACAGCAATCAAATAATCACAGAAAATGATCGTCGCGCAACGATTGCTGTGCTGCAGCAGTTTAGTTCTGTGTTTGAAGAAGGTATTTCCGGAAATCGGACAACTACAGCGTAACGCTCTGTCTTCACAGGTGACCACATGCCACTTCAACAGCCACCTTGCAACGTACCAGTGCACTGCCGACCGCAACTGGATGCAATGATGGAAGATGTGCTAGACAAAATGATAAAAGTTTCTTCGTCATCTCCCTGGGCATCACCTGTTGTCCTAGTGAACGAGAAAGACTCCTCTCTACGACTCCGCGTAGATTACCGACGCCTTAATGCCATAACGAAACGCGATTCTTTTCCGCTTCCGCGGATCGATGCTACATTAGACGCCTTGAAAGTCGCATGTTGGTTTTCGACTTTGGACCTAGCATCTGGGACGAAAACCGCATTTATAGTACCAAATGGTTTATATGAATTTAAAGTGGCGCCTTTTGGTTTAACGAATGCTCCGGTCACTTTTCAAAGGCTAATGCAAACAGTTTTACAGGACATAGTACCCCACAAATGCTTGATGTACCTTGACGACATTATTGTGTATGGTAGCACACCCGAGCAACACAATGCTAATCTAAAAGCAGTTCTTCAGCGCCTTAGGCAATACAATTTAAAAGTAAAACCTTCCAAATGTCGCCTGCTGCAGAAAGAAGTAATCTTCGTGGGAGATCATATCACCGCAGGTGGGGTAGGCACATATAAAGAAAAGACACGTGCGATTGTTAATTGGCCGCATACAAAGTCACCTGAAGACTTTCTTAGCTTCCTTGGGCTAGCTTCTTATTACAGACTCTTTGTTCGCGACTTCGCATCATTAGCAGCACCTTTCCATCGATTGACACACAGAGGACGAAAATGTTTACGGGCCAGCGAGTTTCGACAGGCGTCCGATGCTTTGAAGGCACGGTTAACCTCCCCACCTATATTAGCATAGATATCATGGGACCATTGACATCGACAAAAAACGTGAATCGCTACACACAGGTTATAGTGTATTATTTCACTAAATGGTGTGAGGCAGTGCCCATTCAACAGCAAGACGCCCTTACTGTTGCTCGAGCTTTCATCGATTATTAGGTCTTCACTTATGGTGCCCCGGTCTCATTTCGTTCCGACCAAGGCCAAGCCTTTGAAAGTCATCTCATCGCTGAGACATGCCAGCTACTAGAAATCAGGAAGGCACACACTACTGCGTATCACCCAGAAGGTAACGGCCTCGTGGAAAGAACAAACAGATCTATTAAAGCCATCTTACAGTCGTTCGTCAGTAGACCATCACCTAAATTATGGGATGATATGCTCCCTCAATGCCTTTTAGCATATTGTACGTCGGTACACGGGTTAACGGGATTCTCACCTGCCATTTTATTGTTCGAGCACGAATTAAGCTTAGCGGTAGCGATACAGTCGTCTCTGCTGCCCTGTGAAGAACAAGAGCACGTACCGAAAATACGTACTCTCCGCAACCGCCTAGCTGATGCATACCGCCTGGTCAACATCAACTTGCGCATGGCTAGTGGACACCAAGAAGACATGTATGATCGTCAGGTGCAAAGACAGGTGTATTCAGTCGGAGATCGCGTCTGGCTACGCCTCTCCATGACATCGTTAGGAAGTTGCAGTAAATTTCACCAGCCCTGGTAAGGTCCTTTCGAAATTGTCTTCATCCGATCCCCCACTAAGGTTGTATTGCGTAACATACAACGACCTAAGGACGATGTGATAACGGTACACTAAAACCAAATAAAATCGGACCGGATGACAGTCCCCTTCGATGCTCAGTTCGCCGACCTACCGCTGGCCTCTAGATTTTATGAAGTACCAACAGGAGAAGCAGAATACCCATGCCCAAACCAGGCATTGAGGACAGTGCCTCATTAGGAGTGGGGGCGATGTAACGGGGTTAAATAATCATTTATGGTGTTGTTAATAGATTCTGTTTTCCTTTCTATTGCAGGGCGACATAGAACAAATGCTTCAGAAGAATAAGAGCAAGCTCTGAATGCACTGAACTAACAGCATGACTCATAGGACTGTTTTGTAAACTACCTCTCCTTTCTGTGCATAACCCGCGAATTTTAATTTTCAAAATAGACGACTGGTGGCTTCATTCCGTGTTCTCTCTCCTGGTGTAAAGTGCTCGGTTAACGTTGTGTGTTGTGGATGATTACATGTGCTAGAATTAGACTAGCTATGAGCATGTAAACTCTAGTTCAGTTATTGTGTTAATTAGCTTTTGAAGAACCCTATGAGCACAAGTTTGTGTCCATGCAAAAATTTATGGTTAAGATTAATTTTTCCAACGTTTGAAAATGAAAGTATGTTGTTAAAACCACATATTTCGTAACCACGCATCTCCTGAATAAGTAAATGTCTTAACAGTCTTCCTCTTGTTCCATTGACGTATAACGTTTTAGCCATGATCCAAGATATTTGATTGGTTCATTTGGTTTGACAATAGCCAGTTCAGTCAGTCCTAATGTCAAAGGTTCATCTGTAATATATTAGAAAAGAACAACAAACAAAAGCAATTCTTACTAATGAATTACTGTAGATTTTGTAGGCTCCATAAGCCAAGATTTCCATGTTTCTGTCTTTTTTTCTTTACTTCTGTAGATATAACATTTTAATACCATTTTACAGATTAACCAAATGTTTTACATTGTATCAGAATACTATAAAATATACATTTGATAATATTAAACTAAAGCTTTCTCTTTAATCTGGCTACACTCTGTGGTAAGAAATTCTGATACATGTTATTACTAGATTTATTATTTTCTGTAAGAGACTACTTCAAGTATCTACTGACCAATATTTTAAAAAATATCAGATTTTAGCTATTAATATTTGTTGAGACCTATATTAGAAGTAGTCATTCCTTAAATGTTGTCTTCTTTAATTTGTGGCATAGAATGTAACAGGACTTCACATGTCTTCATAACTATTCAGTATCTCACAGTAATAACGAATGTAATAAAAGTAGAAAGTTTCATCGATATTAAATAAATTAAAGTTGCTATGGTTAATAACAGTGCGTTGAATAATTCATGAGATCATACTTATGTAGACAAGTGATATTACGGTGTGATAATTTTGTACTAAGGGTATCTTAGTTACTATTTTATGTATGGTAAAAATAAGCCTGTAGTCCTCTAGTCTAAACTAAGGAAACTTGAAGACAACACTCGTTAACAGGAGCCAATAGAGCAAGTAAGAATTTTTTAACGAGGCCTTGTAAGGTCTATAAGACGATTTTATTCATTCTTCACAAATTTCGTTTGTTTTCCTTCACCATTTCAGTACCTATACTTCATTATTTACACACTTTAACCAATTGCTCACCGGCGGCTGTTCACACAATTTTCATGATTGTCACTTTAGTAAGTTTATTCATGAAATTATAATCTAATTCATGTTTTGAAATATGTATTTGAGTTTCTATTATAATGAAGAAGAGGTACTGAAACCGACTTACGTAAGTCTGTTGTACCTCGTGGAGGAGCATAGGCCACCCACCAGTATTACAAATGCAACTCTGTCCCGAGCAATCCTCTCCAGTTGCTATTCATTCTTTTGATGTCTGCTTTCAATTTCCAATTCAATATGTTTCCTGGTGTTCCTCTTCTCCTTTTCTCTTCAGGATTCTAAGTTAGCGATTGCCTCGTGATACAGTCTGATGATTTTCCCTATGTATGTCCCATTCATCTTCGTCATCTTTTCCTAATTTCCTCTTCAGCAGGAAGTTGGTTTGTTCTCTCCCACAGTAGGCTGTTGCTGATGGTATCCATCCAACGGACGTTGAGTATCTTGTGTGGACAATTGCTTATAAACACCTGTACTTTTTTGATGATGGTTGTAGTAGTTGTCCAAGCTTCAGCTGCGTACAATAGAACTGTCTTGAGGTTCGTATTGAATATCCTGACTTTGATATTGCTTGAGAGACAGTCGTTCTGAGTCCCATATGTTCTTCAACTGTAGAAATGTTGTCCTCGCTTTACCAATTCTTGCCAGGTAGGTGAAGGTTTCCAAATCTTCTCCATCAAGTGTGATTAGGTTGGTGTTCTTTGTGTTGTGTTTGAGGATCTTGGTGTTTCCTTGTGTACGTTGAGGCCTACTGATGCAGAGGCTGCCGCTACACTAGTTGTCTTCATCTAAATTTGTTCTTGTGCATGCGATAGGAGGACTAGGTCATCTGGGAAGTCCAAATCGTCTAGTTACATCCAACCTGTCCATCGTATTCCATGATTCCCATCAGGTGTGGTTGTCTCCATAATCCTATCGACCACCAGAACAATGAGAAACGGAGGGAGTAGACAGCCTTGTCTGACACTTGTCTTCACTTGAAATGCGTCTGTGAGCTGTCCTGCATGTATGGTTTTGCAGTGTAGTCGGTCGCATAAATTCCGCATGATGTTGACCACCTTTTCAGATACACCATAGTGTCGAATAGGATTCCGTAGGTTCTCTTATCCACACTACCAAACGTTTCCTCATAGTCTAGAAAGTTGATGTATCGTGACAAGTTCCATCCAGTTGGTTTTTCAACAATGATCCTTACTGTTGCGACTTCGTCTGTAAACGATCGATCCCTACGGAATCCAGCTTGTTTATCTTGAAGTTATGCGTCTAAAAAATCTCTCATTCGATTAAACAACACTGTAAAAAATCTTCCCTACTACAGATAGTAGTGTGAATTCTCTGCAGTTCTCACACCTGCTTAAATCTCCTATATTTGGTACCTTGATGAGGTGTCCGTCTTTCCAGTTGTCCCTTATAGTAGTCCCCTCTTCTTTGAGTAGATCTTGTAACCTGTTTCTGTGACCTATTTGGAATTCGTTGAATTTGTCAGTATCTGGAAAGAAGGCTATATGTCATATGTTCACTATCAATTAATTGTATGAACTTTTTTGCCCACTGAATTCGTTTGATGCTTGTCATTATTAGTACAATTGCAATATTTTTACATATTCACAATTTTTTTATTTTTTCATTTCTAATGATGACTAGTCATTTATTAGGATTAGTTGTACAATAAAAACTAATCGTTTTTTTTCAGTAATCAATTTTATTTTAAGCAAAGATTGATAGTGACTAGCAGTGGAATTCAGGACGCGCGTTTCATCTTATTTGAGACTCGTCAGCCGGATGTACCTGCATCTAAGAGTTGATTTTCACTCCGGGACTCGAACCCAGTATCATTCGCTTCAAACGCCATCGCGTTATCCACTTAGCTACTAAGTCATGATATCCACTTGCTTGTGCAATGGGGTTGCGCTGCTAGCCATCATCCATCTTTGCCTAAAAAGCTTGTGACTTAAGGCTGTCACGGCAATCCGCAAAGGATGCACATGTGCCAATAAGAGATCGATCAATTGCAATCCTAATAACAATGAAAAGATGCATGTAAAACTACACCAAGTGAAGCAATTTTATTGTTTCACTAGTCTCTAATTAATCAAAAAGTTAATATTGAAAACTGTATATCAAATGGTAATATTGAGTATGATAACAATAATCTATTTTGATTACACTATCTATGTGAATAAGTAAATTCATAAGATAGTTTTGAACCCTTACATAATGTATTGAATAAATCAGATCCAGAAGAACAAAGTGAGATTGGATTCATTTGACCGAATGAATTATTTTTAATCATTTTCCTGAATTTCTCAATTTCTGGAACAGTAATTTAAAAGAAAAAGATACAATAAAATGATGTAGAGCTATAAAAATAATTTGTAGAATGAACCTTCATGAATACTTGTAAATAATTAACTATAAATTATTATTAGTGTGGGTCGTTTGAATAGACGATAGTCAATGCAGTAATAACAAAGACGAGTGAGAATTTTTTCCAGAATATCTTTTCAAATCTCCCCGAGATGTATCTAAGGTAGTGAGAAGATTTGTAGCTGAAGTGGATGATTTTGATGGAGATTTGTTCTCTGAGCTAGATGGTTTGGTCGTTCTTCTGAACGACATCATCAGCTATGCTGCTCAGAGAACAAAACTCCGTCAAAATATATTTAAGGAATAGTTCATAACTGTCGTGAACTTATAAACTTGCAAACTTTATCTTTGACAGCTGTCTTTATCTAAACGATGGGTGATGTATTAAAATACCGTTTAGAAAGTTAGTGTTATAATGAACGTGGCTAGTTTAAATTTCAAGCAAATAATCAAGTTTATATTAAAATATTTATGTCCTATAAATGACATGACATCTCATAGAATTTTCTTGATGTTAATTTAGACGAACAGATAAAATAATAATCAGTTATAACTCCCAGTCATGATTTTTGCATGCCTAAACTTATCGGCCTCTGATAGTGCCTTCATCAAAATCCCCTTAGATCCTATTGTGTGTGAATATTTCTATTGAAACTTAAAATCAAAGACCATTTCTGAAACTAGAATACAACAATCTTTCTAAATTTCAAATAAACACTACTTTCATACTATGACACGAAATCTTTGGTAGGATAAGGGGAGAATCAGTGCTTAAATTATATGTAACAAAATCACTAGTATTTTAAAAAATAAGTAGATGAGTTTGTATTACAGACTAACTTCATTTAAACAATCAACGAAAATCAGTTAACACTTAACATCTATTTTTTATTAGCATAGGATCTATTGACAGTGCACGATTACGGATCAATCAAGGATCAAAACCAAAATCGTCAGGTTTCGTAGTGAGACAGTGACCTTTACCCTACTGATTTGGAATTCAATGGTATATATTTCTAAATACAGTGGATTTGTGGAGAAGGAGGCTGAAACAATTTTCTGACGCTCCATATTTTTCAACCGTTATTTAGCTATAGTTACTCAATAAAATCAACTCTAAACTTCAATAAATCTTTCTCGTTAAGAATAAAAGTGCTACAATTAGTAGAAAAACTGGGTTCAGTACTCTTTATAGACTGCCTACAACCACGTAACATAAGATGCATTATATACGGGCTGACAAGGCACTTTTTGCTTATGTCCATACTTCAACTTTACCAACAAAATTTAATCAACTATAAGAACTAAACAAATATAACACTGGTTATCATTCACTGATCTAGTCAGTGGAAATTAATCACGCACAATTTTTATGTTAATATCGTTAATTATTAGCGAACGATTTTATGTTGATTAAGATTTCAGCTAAAAAATTTTTTTAAAAATAAACTCACTATGTTTTTGTTCTACTGAAGTGATATTATTAAAATTTACTGATAACTGTTTTTGTGTGTGTTGTTGTTGTTTAGTTGAACATTCTATCTTACGATTAATTCCTTCGAATACCATTGTTTGACATTTTTCTTTTACTTTATCATTACCATTATAATTATCATCACTACTTTCATAATCATATGAAATTATTTCTTTATTATTTAATGCAAATTTCACATCTTTTTTATATAATGATGAACATTGTAATGAACAACATGGTAATTCATTTAGTTTTTGTGTTTGATGTTGATAATGAATTAGATTGCAATTAGTTTCATTTAATCTATTGTCATTTTGTAATTTCTCATATGATTTTTCATTATTTTGTGTGACGTTTGATAGTTTAAAGTTTGGACAAATATCACCAAAGGAAATATCAGAATTATTATTATTATTATTATTAATATCATGATTAGTAGTAGTATTAGTAGTAGTGGTAGTAGCAGTAGTAGTAGTATGATGATGATGAATTTTATCATTTTGATTTGTTGCTGATAATAATGACGCATTACTGCTTAGTAGTTCTTTTTCCTTATGGTCGATTGGAATGATCACTTGATTATTACTATTATTATTATTGTTACAACTGACTATGTCTACTGAATCTGTTAATTTACTTATCATCATGTTATCATGTTTATTTAAATTTATATTATATTTTGCATTTTGTTTATTTGTATGACCTAATATTTCTTCTATATCAATTCCTGTTGAACTTTCAGATGAAATTTCATGATCTTTTTCAATAAATTCATCAATAGCATCAATTGAAGTATTATGTGATATAGTAGAATCATCTAATTCAACCTTTTCAACATCTTTTTCTAAGATTTCATTAAAATCTAATTGATTTCCATATACATTATTTGATAATGTAAATTCATTACATCGACCATTCACAAAATATGTTCTCATTTTACCTTTGCCCTATAAAATAAAATACATGATTAATGTAATAACCATACTCTTTTTCTTTATTGTTAAGAAATACAATACTAATGATTATTTATATTAAATCTAATTAAATTTCATTCAAGATTTTCAAGATTTCAATAAGATGTAATTAGTTAGTATCCAATTAATTAGAATAAATAACAATAAAGGTTTAACAGATTTAATAATAGAAATACTTAGAAGAAAAAAAGGTCAAACATTTACATTCTTGAAACTAAAATTCATTTTCTTCATAATTATATAAACTAGTTCGTTTAATGTAGAAAATGAACATAACAGTTTATTTTTCTATGTTTACTATAGGGTTTTATATGTTCGAGTATAGTTAGTTGTGTATTGTATTCTATCCTAATGAAGTATAGGTGTACTAATAACAATGTTGATTACTTTTGGACAAGTAGAAACTTTACTTGAACGTTAGAAAAAAAACGGTATGAAGAGTTCCAAGTTCGTATCCTGGAAATCCTAACGCAACAAATGAATCTTGATCACAGAGGACATACTGATGATCTATGTAACTCACATACTGATTCCATCATTAATTGTATTCAAGAATTTCATTTTGATGGTTCAGGAACTATGAAGGTTTGTGGAGTTTTTTCTCTGGGATAGATGATTTGGTCGTGGAGCTTTCATCGTTCTTCTGAACGACATCATCAGCAAAAACTTCAGATAGAAGTGAAGCGTTCGAATTTCTCATGTGGTTTACAGCTTCTCCTGTAGACCTTGATGTTGGTTGGTTCTTGTTGACCTTAAACCTGTCATTGTTTGCTTTTTTGTTTCGGTTCTATCTCCCATTAGTTTTATTTTTGTTTCTATGTTTGTGCATAATTTTCCTGGGTGGTTGATAAATTGGATCGATTTCAATGTGCTTGTTGATTGCTGATTGACCTGAGTGCCAAGCTTCTAAAAATTCTCCGGTGTTTTTAGAATTCCACAAGAACCAATCAACGTCGAGGGCTACAGGATAAGCTGTGAACCACATGAGAAATTCGAACGCTTCACTTCTATCTGAAGTTTGTGCTGATGATGTCTTTCAGAAGAACGATGAAAGCTCCACGACCAAACCATCCAGCTCAGAACAAATCTCCAACAAAATCATCCACCTGAGCTACAAATCGTCTTCACCATCTCATATAGATTTATTAAAGGTCGGCCTCAGTTAACTTGATGAAGCCGCCATGGTCAGAATACTCCTGAGAAAATATGTCACGGTTGAACATGAACCTTAGAGTGATTTCTTCTCTCCAATGAACCCAAGAGAAGACGGGAGCAACAGGAGAAGTGATTATTGGATGAGAACCAAAAATGTACAGAGAAACATGGGTATTTATAGTTATTATCATAGGCTAAAACATCATTATAATTGAGCCAGTCCTCAAGGAGGTAAGTTATGATATCCTCCAATCGCAGCATCCCACGTTAACACTGTAGAAGGCTCGCGGGACTCGAACCCAGGACCTATCGGCCCAGCACGCGACCGCCCAACCTCTAGACTAGTGAGCCGATATCCAACGGTGTTGATATTTAACTTGTACCAATCCACGAAATTGCGCCACGGTCAACCATTAGATTACTAAAATCTCCACAAAACCCACTTCTGATAATATTTTATTTTATAATAACCAAGTTATTTCACAACTGAATTATTTTACAATGTAAAATCTATACACTATAATGAAATATATTATTGATTGTTGTTGATAATTTTGATGACATTGTTGCTTAGCTTTTGCGTAGAATTTTTCACTAAACTATTATTGTTATTATTCAAATTCTTTTATGATTATAGATAAAATCATCCTGATAAATTGTATGGTCAACAAACTAACAGTCATAAACAAATTCCCGAATGTTACATTTGCAATTAATCCTTTCCTACTAACTGGATTATGAATCAAATGGTGAGAATGAAAAAAGATGTCGTTCAAGCATCTCGAGTTATTCTGTTTATTTTTTAAGATGAACATAATTAGCGATCCATTTCTTGATATACTTCAATACCTATCTACGTAAATCTGAAGGATGGTTCTCATGACACCTTATCAATAGTATTGAGTTTTCCCGCATTCAGAATCATAAAGTTGTTATTGCTCATATCTTGTAAACCAATGCATACCAATGAGTAATTCATGAAAAATTTTCTACACAATATACAGAGTATCTATTTGCCTCATTACATACGCGTTTGTAAGAATGAAAATGGTTTATACTCGACTTAATTGAAAATATGGTTTACATATAAAGAACTTTTATTTACTGAGAGATTAATGTCAACAATCTGATGACATTTTGATGTTTGACTTGTTTCAATTTTTTATTTCCTAGTTATCTTAGTAAACGTTATTTTAATTCTTTATGGTCACTAGACTCAATAGAAGATGGTCACTCAATATTATGGATTGATTGGAGCTAGACCTGTAGATCATTAAATCCCGATCCAGTGGTCTAGAGGTTAAATGTCTTCTTGCTAGACCGAAGGTTTTAAATTTGATTTATGGTTGCAAGGTGATTCGTGGTTACTGTTTTGGAGCTCCATACTGGGACGAAACGGCCATTCAATACCTCCAGGTTTTCTATGGTTGTCTAACTTAAATGGGTTTGTGATTTCAACGAAGTCCAATCCTACTTGTATATAGGTAACTGAATGTTAAATAAGGGTAACGAAACAGTTCATTATCACTTTGGAATTTAAACCCTCCACAATTAAACAGTCAAATTTAATATGAACATACTACCGACAATACTTAGTACTAATCCACGTCAATTGATTCAGGGTTAACAGAATGTTGGGCGTTAACATCACAATACGATAATATCAATAATTAATTACCATTCGTTTGATTTACAAAAAATAAGATTGGTCTATCAGATATGAGGAAAATGATAAATCACTACATAAGACTAAAGAAATTCCAAGATTTTACCTTAACATCAATTTCGCCACGGTATTCTAAAATGTATGGGAATTCCGAAAGGTGAGCAGCAAACATTTGACTGACGTGTATTCGATCAGGCTAAAATAAAGGCATACATTTTTAAAAAAGATGAATTTTTTAAATAAACAATATTATGAACAAACTGAAGTTAAGAATGTCAATGATGTGCTTTTTATGGTTTAATGTAAAAACTTTTGATAATCAAAAACAAAGATGTGTAACACATCTGAAAATTAACCTTATCAACATCTAGTCATTGATTGTTAGATTATCTTAATCTCGTACTTTTATAATTGCCAGTTGTTATCCACTACTTTAATTATTAAATGTAAGTAGTTTTTATGTGCTTACTGAGTGGTCGGTGAACTTTTTCTCTTGCTCGTCTATCTTTCAGATTTTCAAACATGCACCTCTACACAGTCCTTTAAGCATACAACGGGCCACTAACCTTGACATAAATCTATCAAAACGAAAGTTTACGGAATCGGTAAATTGCATTATTCAGAGTTGTACATGGGAATTATTATGCCAAGTTTTTTTTCATATGGTATATATTTATTAAGTATTTGAACTTACCACACCACTAGACATCATTCTGCTAGCTGTATTCACTGTATCTCCAAATAAACAATATCTTGGTGTTTTGTGGCCAACTATACCAGCTACAATAGGTCCAGTGTGACATCCAATAAAAAGCTTTAAAACCTCTTTTTCATCATCATTACCAGTGGTGTCCTTAGAATCATTTGATTTTGGCCATGCTAAAGATGCATGAGTAACTTTCAAAATATTTAATGCCATCTCTGTTATATGTGCAGAATGAAAACGTGTTTTATTCGGTGCTCCAGAGACAAGCATATAACTGTCACCAACTGTTTCAACCTAAGATTAATTATAGAAAATAAAATAAACTTTAAAATATTTTTACTCTTAACTATTTGTTAAGTCTTTCAAGTATTTGATCTTTTCACTAATAGATTAAAATGAAGATATACGTTAAGTAAATGAAAGTGATTCGGACATTTAGTCATTTACCAATGATCTAACTTTATTTACTCGATTAAATATAAGTTGTTTCCTAAAGACTTTCAATCTTGATATGTTGTATTGTACTTGAACAGTACATTAGATTTCTTTGCTTCAAAATGTCGTGGAATTATTTTTCAGAATAACATGTAAAGTATGAAAACTCTGCATGATTTGAGAAATTCATCATGATATTTTTTTGAAAACCGTAATCAGTTAAGAAATTAAAGGAACATAAAAAAAACGAATACTTGTTTGAATTGCTAGTTTTATGAAAATGTATAGTTTTAACTGTATGATTAGTAACACATATAAGTCCAATAGTTGATACATTTTTATATAACGAAATCTGTTAAGATACAGGGCGATGTCTAGTCATTATGGTATATTAGATAAAACATATTTATCAAAATATTTTTATAATAAACTTTTCATGCGCCATTAGTAAGCGTGGGTGTAGTGTCAGTTACTATGTTAAGGCCATATAACCTATTCTAGCTTCTAGACATGCCAATTGATCCATTCTTCTTGAGTCACCTTTTGACCTTGTTAATTATTCACTTATTATTCTTGACTGTTTTCATACACTTTTGATTCTATTCATCACATGTCTGTAGCTTAATTTAGCTTGATTATAAATATTGATTAATGCTTGATTAAATTGAGTTGGTCTACATGCCTTCTCCACTACGCTCCGTCTTGTTTCTACCTCACTTCTTCGCTTCCTTCGCTACGTTTCCCTGATTACCTGTTCAGATCAGCGACTGTATGAAATACACGTATTTGAAATTAAGTCAATAATTATATATGAGGATAGCCAGGATGTACATTTTGACAACAATCATTCATACAATATAACTGAAGTCAGATGACGGGCCACCAAATTGGTGAGCCCATTGATAATATATTCCGATTTAATTGACGTCAAAACGAAGGGCCTCATTATAGCAAACTGATGAAAGACTTTACACCTCAACAACAATTCATAGATTAGGAAAGCAATTTATTTTACAATCTCTAGTCATATTTTCAACTGCTTTTCCAAAATAAACATTCTTAACAGTCTTTAGATTTTAGATTTAATAATTTGTATTATGCGGTAGACACTGTAAAAGTGTTCACAACTGATCCATATTTTATTAAAGATAACAACTATCACAAAGTAACATCAACTAAAAAACCAGTAAAATCAGAGAAGTACTAAGTATCTATTTGATCCTGGATTGAAAGACCTTAACAATACGCGAGCAGAAACTTTATACCTCTAGATAACTACGATATAATAAAGTCATTTAGGAGTAAAGCTCGAAGATCATATATATTTGAATTAAGTATGTTTGTTTCAATGAACTATTTTAAATTGAATTAATTGATTGATAATTATCCGCTTTTGATTTGTTGGGTTCTGCGAGTCACTGTTTCTTATAAAAAAACGTCTAGAAATTCATATTCATTCTCTTAAAAACAGTTTTTGTAATAAATTGATATTCATTCACTTGATATTGCTTGCTTGATGTTTAGGATTGCAATAGATCAGTCTCTAATTGGCATATGTGCATACTCTGCGTATTACCTCGATATTGCCTTAACTCACAATCAATATAGGCAAAGATGGACATTGGCTAGTAGTATACATATATGCCAATAAGATACTGATCAATTGCAGTCCTAAACATCAATAGAAGATTCAAGTAAACAATATCAAGTGAATTTCAAATTCACGCCATTGCACAAGTAGGTGGCCATCAGGACTTAGTGGTTAAGTGGATAACGTGATGACGTTTGAAGCGAACGGTACTAGGCTCGAGTACCTGAGTGAACATCAACTCTGAGAAGCAGGTGCATCCGGCTGACGAATCCCAAATAGGACGAGATGCGCCTCCTGGATTCCAGTTCTAACCACTATCCATCTTTGCTTATAATTAATGTTTAAGTTTTCACTTATAAACAATTTCTTTAACATTTTGTAACATACGTTGATTATACTTTTATTCAATACATTTATAATGATTCCTAACAGTAATTGTTAATAATGTATGACAAGTTTTCAAATGTAACGTTTAACTTACCTTATAAACATTAGAAGCTTCTGTAAGATCATCAAAAAGTGTGTACATTTTATTAAAAGCTTCACAATTTGATCTACACTTGTATTCATACATTTTGCACAAAAGTTAAAAACTTTTGTGAAACATATACTTACAGAATCATATGTCTAGTAAAATATCAAATTAAAACAATGTTATGTATATCAATGATCTTATAAAAGGTTAAGAAGACATATATCGCTTAAAAGTTACTAAATAGCTTGTAGTGTCGGTTATTATGTTAAGCCCATATACTTAATTCTAGCTTTCGGATAGCCCAATCTATTCAGTCTACTTGAGTCACATTTTGACCTTGTTAATCATCCGCTTATCAATCTTGAATGCTTTTATATGAGCGTAAGTGTGTGTACATTTCTCATCCCATTCATCACATGTCTGTAATTTGCGTGTAACTATAAATATTGATTAATGGTTGGCCAAATGGGGAGTTGGCTTACCCTCCATCTCCACTGCGGGTCGTTTCGCTTCTCTCTGTTTTATTCGCTGCATATACGGAATATATGTATTCAAAAGTCCATTCTCGTTATTTGAATTATTTATTGACTAAGGCGATTTAAGTCAATGATTATATACGAGGATAGGTGATACAAACATCATACGATCTAATTAGAGTCAGATCCACGGGACACTAAAGTGGAGAGCCTGTCAACAAACATCATCCGATGTAAATGACGACAAAATAACGAGTCCTACAAGCTGAAAATATACATTCAATATTTCTAGATCTTTGTTTGATTTGCCTAAAAATAAAATTCTAATCTACAAATCTAATAGATATAAAGTAAACTATAAAAGAAATAATTATCACACTATCTAATCTCTTTTTCAATTAATTTCTTTGAGTTCATATTGAAATTCATACTGTTTATATGATAATTAATCGAATTAGTAAATAAAATATATTTAAATTACCTCTATAGTTTCATTTGCTGGGGTACCATCACGTAGTTTACGAGCCACTGCTCTTGGAATACATTGATATAAGAGACGATCAGTTAATTTTCGCATTTTATCCAAATGTTTCATACTTTTCTCTAATTCTTCACTTTTTTTACGTTGCTATAATAAATATTGATTTATACACAATGATATCATATATCTACAATGAATTATTATGTATATAAAGTTATTTTGTTAAATGTAACTCTCTGTAATATAATCATTAAACAATTCTACGATAACACACGCACTAAAGTGGAGTCTAAGATGATTCAATTATTTTACTACATTTTTATTTAGCTGTAAATGTATTATTACATAATACTGACTAATGTTATATTGCTTTTATAAACTGGTCATTGATCTTCATCATGGGTAATAAGTTATCTTGTATAAAGTGGTAGCTAATAATATTGTTTTGTATTTTTATAATTTTGAAGCCATAAACTCAAATTGAGAGCAAATTACGCCAAAATGAAATATAACCCAGTGTGTAGATGGATTGCGATTGATAATTGTTGAAAATCATTATAATTAAATATCATTACCATATATTTTCTTTGTGGTAATAACGTTGTATGTGGTGTAATCAATAGATTGAAATCTTTACATTTATGTGATTGACTTACTTAAAATTATTAAAATGAAATGAACTAACAAAACGATGACAGTAACAGTGAAAAGTGATTGTTTAATAAGTCATTTGTAGCTCACTCAGTTGTTGGCGATTATGATGACGAAGTTAAAGACAGAGATTGTATACATTTTTTGTGAAAACAAATGCTAGATTTGTTGGAATGAATATCAATGGATTTTACTATATTCAAAGAAATATATGTAAACCGTGTAGTATATTTGTTGGGACCAGGTGGATAAGTTGGAATGCACTGATTTTATCTAACTGATGTCCTATGCAAATTAACTTAGCCATTATAGAGCTTTTAATTAATTTTTTATTTTACTTTATTCAACTAGGCAGAGTGATGCTCGGAAACACTTTAGGGAACTTGTATAATCGTTTACCCTATTTAATTAACTTCAAAAGAATATCTAAAATAGTAAGTGTATATAAATAAGAATAATTCAAGAAGTCTGACTTGGCCAAATATTGGAATAATCATTTAATAAAATCGATAAATTCATGCTTTAAAGTAGCGATTTCCAGTTCAAAGGTATGAGACGCATTTGGAAGCAAATTATTGATCTATTCTAAAATATAACATATAATTTTGTTGACGACGGTTTTAAGATGCACATACCAATAGATTGTGCAAACTATTTTTAAAATTTTGATTAAGATCATAAACCGATTGATGTTAGATCACCATTGAAAACCTGGAAGCAATGTACAGCCGTTTCGTCCTATTGTGGGACACAGGAGTACGCATCCAAGACCACGCGAGCGGGATCTCGTGCGCGAGACTGAAGGCCCTGGGTTTGAATCCTGCGAGCGGGATCGTGGATGCACACTGCTAAGGAGTTCCACGATGGGACGAAACGGCCGACCAGTGCTTCCAGCTTTACAATGGTGATCTAAAATCAATCGGTTCATGATCTCAGTCAAAAACTTAATAATATCCACAGCCCTATACTGATATTTTTAAATTAATCAAATCAATTAAATAAAGTATTAAAAAGAACTGTTTCATTTAATCATAGTAAATACTAAGCAAACAAGAACACTTTTCTATTTAATCACATAGAACCATTTAAATTAGTAACTTTATACTAACAATAATCTGATGAATTGTATCATACAGAAGAAAAAAAAACACTTTTGTAAAACTAACCATCTGAAATAATTTCACTAGTTCAGTTGAAATTTGATCACCACAAATTATTACATCTCTACTTCGATCAAACATATTCAAATCACAAATGTATAAACCATGTTCATTTAAATGTCTGATATCACGTATACTAAATTTGTAAATAAATTATAAGGAAACATTAGTTTTGTACAATGTATTATACTATCAAAATAAGCGATACTTTTCAACAAACCTATCAATTTTGTCAGTAAGATAATAGGAGTTGTCATTGAAATGGTGGAGATTTGTAGCTCAGGTGGATAATTTTGATAGAGTTTTGTTCTATGAGCTAAATGATTTGGTCGTGGAGCTTTCATCGTTCTTCTGAACGACATCATCAACATAAACTTCAGATAGACTTCCATTTTCATTAAAACGAAACAGAATTTTCAACCGTGCTGTTTTTTTAGGAATCACAGTGACATCTTTCAGTGTTTAACTAGAAATAACCTTGAATATTCTAAAATTCAATTAAAATCTGACTTATGCTTGCGAAATGGAATAGCGGTCAATCTTTCTTTATCCTGGTAAATTTTATTCCAATAAATTGTTTTTCTTCCAATTTATTTTATTTTATTACGTCACTGTATCATTTTGCAGTTTATAATCTTATTTTTAAATGTCTGAATTTATCTTACATCATTCTAAGTTGTCATTTATCTTTACTTCATTAACTCGTTACGTAACTATCTAGTGACGGTCTTATTATCTTCTTATTACCGTACATGATACTCTACAATATATCTTTATTCCTCGTATATTTATATCTACAGCATTTTATTTATGTGGGATCTGATTGTTTGAAATATATAGTGTTAATACATCACATTTTTCAGATCAATCCCATCTTCTTATTGCTCTATCGAACTTTTGTTAAACCATTTGAAATTTATTCGGATATTTATTACAATATAGTGCTACGTAAATTCCGATCAATCTTCTATGAACATGTTAGCCTTTAACTAAAATTTTGAGTTCGAATAGTTAGGGTTGTAAGCAGCTGATGGAACGTAATGTAGTAAGATAAATTCATGTTATCTTGTCTTCTTTAATTGTTGTTCTTAATCTCCTTTATTAAGAATCATTTTTACTTTGAAAAAAAAGTATGTATCACAAGTTAGTATTTCTATTCGTTAATATTATACAGAATACTTTCCATTACCATTTATTAATGATAATAAATAAGAATATATATTTGTGATATTTAGTGGCATCGGACCCTAGTCACACAACCATTGAAGCCGAGCATATAATTACTGGAAAGACATATTCAACAATTGACATGAATATAAGGTTAACTATGAAAAGCGGAAATATGAATTGAATTAAATAGGATGGCATGGCTCAGCCTTGCAAGCGTGATCATTCTTGTGTAACTTATCACTTTTATTCATATTGAATCTAGTGTTCTCCATCATATATTGTTGATTGTTACGATAAGTCAGTGCAGATAATGATGTGACTTCCACGTCAGATCTTATAAATCAGATACTCACTCCATAACAACTCTAAAATTTTAGGATTAAGTTTATTATTAGAGCAGCGCTAATAACGAAGTAGGCCATAATTTTACAGATACATCTTTTACAAGGAAGGGAACATCATACTTAAGAATTACATATAATACGCTACATAAAATCTGTTTAATTTGATATGTAAAAATTTTCCTACTAGTGTTGTAATTTATTCACATTACCAAATACTTCTAAATAATGTCAAAAGTTTTCGATGTGAGTGTAAATATAGTATTTAGATGGTGGTTGGAGGTAGTCAACAGGAAACCCTGGACCCGGGTTCCGTGCTACTTGGCACTCGTCAGCAAGGTGTACCTGTAATCTTGAGGGAACTGGTGCTCCCTGGCGGATTCAATCTCGTGTCACCCGGCTTCACAGTCAGAGACGTTACCAATGAGCTATCCGAGCCGTGACTAACTTCCTGTAGGACTGAGATGTAATCACAATTGATTGATCACTGGGTGGTGATCAATGTCATGCTTGCCTAGTCCTTATTAGTGCAGATCGAATGCTATCGATCATGTTGCATGACATTGATCACTACCCAGTGATCAGTCAATTGTGGTAACTATAGTATCTGTACTCAGTTAACTATATACATTTATTTGTATTCAACTGTGTGCTTGAACTATTTCGAGTACAACAATTATCCACAATAACATTGAATTATCGTAAATTAATCGAAGTTAACAATGTCGACAAATGGATTTGAATCCAGTGGCGTACAGCATATTTGATATGAGATTTCGAAATTTAGTATTCATTCTTATATTAGATCATACGTTTTGAGGCAAGTCACGTTGCCGGTTGCTTTTGTGGCAAATTAAAGTAAGCTGAAAACCACTGAAAGCCCTGAAGCATCCGTGCGTCATGTTTCATTGATCCTTTTTAGATTAATATTCCATAACTGTAGAAAATGTAATCCAGAACTTTCATGCTTTAGGACACTTCCGTAAACAATATAATTTTGTATATAAATGTATATATGCAGAAAATTATATATATAAAACTTACGATGGTGCCCCCAGAAATAACAACATATCCCATTGTTCAACATAACGCATTTCACCTCTAAATTTACATTCTGCCTTACCCAACATTGAGCGATCATTGTTTTCTGGTTCAATAAGGTATATTAAAATAGATTAAAATTGATGAATGGTTATTTCTTTACAAATCGTTCCAATAATTGTTTATTCAGACATTACTTTAAGCATCAGTTTTAGAATATTATGATATTATTGTATATCAACGAAAATCCTATTGTATTATTTGTTCGACTAAATTCTAGTTACTATCAGAGTTTATGTTAAAAGGTAACTAGCAAAACAACGATAAACAAGAATTATGAGATGTGTTGGAATTCCCTGATAACTTTTCGATAATTTCTTCAGAAAATAAGCGGAGGCTGGAAACATCTAATATAAACGCTTAAGAAACTTCTGGAAAATATACAAATTATGTCACATTTTTGTTAATTGATTAATGACTTTGATATGAAGTTTAGCATGCTTCCAAAGGTTTCTAAGGGTCATGTCATACCAGCGAACCGAATAATACTCTTACTTTCTGTAAATCAATCAGTCTCAACGCAAAAGGTTTTCTATTACTTCTTGCTCGTTTTCTGCCGTTTGAAACTAAAAGGTAGGTTTATTATAGGGATCATGAATGTGAGGGCAGCCTTTATCAGTCGTTCGACATTCAGGCTTATGATGAACCTAAGTCACTTAGTTTTGTTTAGTCTACGCTCTCGACATCACTACGACGGTGAAGAATCGAACCCTTATTAAAATACTGATAGGCAAATAGGCCGAGTGATACATGTATTATGTTTAGTTTTGTTTTGTAAATTTAGGAACAGATTTCGCAATTGACTGACATAAATCAGATTGTCGTTAAAAACTAAGCCCTACTTGAAAAACGTTTTTATTCCGGTTTCCAGCTATTCGAAACTGTGAATATATATATCCACGTGAGATTTGATCTACCGTCAGTAAAATAAACATTAATGGTCTTCTGTAGTTTCTATTTACTTACGCAACGGAATAACAACACGTGTAGTGATTAAAGACTAAAATTCAAAGTATACGTCTCTTCTGAAATAAATGTTAGACTGTTTTTTAAGTGTCTCTATTCTTGAATCTATCAAATCAGTTAAACGTTTAATATAACCTTGTTCACTGATCAGTCAATACTTTTAAACGAGATGAATAAATTTTACTGATGCAAAACTCAATAACATTTTAGTGTCGGTTGCTATGTCAAGTCCACATAGCTAATTCTGGCCTCCGCACAGGTCAATTTATTCATTCTTCATGAGTCACATTTTGATCTTGTTAACTGTTCGCTTATTACCCTTGATTGTTTTTACGGAGACGTATGTGTGCATTTTTTTATCTTACTCATCACATATCTGTAACTTATCTCCGTCCGACTATAAATATCGATTCACGCTTGGTTAAATTGAGTTGGCTCCCTCGCTTCCTCTATTGCTCGTCACTTTGTTTTGCTTTGCTTCCCGATCAACGATCGTACGAAATATAAGTATCCGAAAATCCATTCTCGTACTTGACTTATTTAATTCCGTTATTCACTTACACGAGAGAATCAGCGACATGTAGCAATCATTTAAACGATTCAAATGGAGCCAGATTTAGGGCCACTAAAACATATTTACTGTTTTTCTGAAAAGAGTACAAAATCGACTTCAGACATAAAACTTGGAAAATAAATTAGAACTGTAAACTAAACCACATAAATTAGTTATCATTATAAAGTGATCAGTATTAGGTTTATCACAGATTAGAACCAATATAATGTCAAGAAATAAGTTAAACAATAAGGTTAGGAAGTTTTCTTGTCCAATGTAATAATCAAATCATATCTACAATAGACTGATACACTTACTATTCAAGCATAGATTTTTCATCAGAACCAATTCAAATGTATTATGCATATGTAGTTTTATCTGGAAAGATAAAATATATAATGATATAGTTTATTGACGACTTGAAGAAAGATCATTCATAAAATTCCTCGGTTCAGTCTAATGTTAGACGGTAGCCAATTGCTAATCAGAACTCTTAAACTTGAATGAAACAACTTCTTAATGGTATCTGACTTATAATGATGTTATAGTTAATATTAGTATTTAATGAAAACCTTTTTTATGACTGATGCAGTTTTATTCATTGAATACTATTCCAGACTATAATTATTTAAAAAAATAGGGAAATACAATAATTACGGTATATAACTTAGTTGATTAATAATATCACATTTCAGATTATTTCAGTATCTAAACGAATTTAGTTGCTGCGTATATTTGATCAATATTCGGTACCATCAGAAAGATTTAGACTTTAATTCATGTTTTTACTGATAATGTACTTCTTATTTGTTATGCACGGCGACATCAACTTAGGAACCTATGAAAGGTGCTCATACATGTCAAGAATGTATATTGTACTATAAGTGGCAATGAATAACGTTTGCACGAAATTATTAATAGGCTGAAGTTGGAAATGTGAACGATAGGACAGAAGTTTAGTTGTTTAAATGGTTTCGGACTAACCGAAAGTCATGAATATCTTCGGTGTGTACAGAAAGTTTATCGTACTCTAAAATGAACTAGCTGCCAAATTTTACAGGTCCTCAGTAAGTCATATGGTACATTGAGCCCATGATATCAACTAATTTCAACTTAACTAAAATAAGTTCACAAAATGAAAAATCAGTAGCTCGTATGTACACATAAAGGAAACATAATTATAGACAATTTATTATGCTAAATCTACTGTTGAAATATAGTTTCACAGTGTTTGTATAGTTTTTAGGATTCTAGTCTAACTGGAACAGGTTCGCTTATTGATTGACTTCACTTTTGCTAAACTTGTAATTATATAAACAGTATTTAGTGCACTTGTTAACATTTTTTGAAGACACCAAATTCGTACAACATTCATCGAAATATCATAATACTCTGGGTTAATTACTGTAAATGTGTTCTGGTGGAGTGCTTCAGACTAAAAGTTATTTAATTTTACTTATGAAGAATTACGATGATAAAAGATTTTGGAAACAATATGTAATTTTTGACCTCATAATCTACTCTTTGTATAACTATCAACAGTTTCTTGGATTTACTAAAAATTATCGGTTTGGGGTTGTGGAGATTATTAAGTTCTTGATTGAGATCATGAACCGATTGATGTTGGACCATCATTGGAAACCAGAAAGGACTGGACGGACTTTTTGTCCTAGTATGGGACTTCTGAACAGTGCGCACTCACGATCCCGCTCGCGAGATTTGAACCCGTGGCCTTCTGTCTCGCACAAGAAAACTTAACCCCTAGATCGCTGAGCCGGTATTCAACGATGTTAGTGTCTAAATTCAACCAATCCACGAAATTGTGCGAACATCTTCCATTGTACTGAGGTAGATAACTGTCTCTACCCAACATGGATTAGCTCCATAGGTCACGATTTCTCATTATTATAAATTATCAGAATTTTATTAGCAAATACACATTATAATGGAAACAAATTCCTTTTAAATAGCTTGGTGAAGAAACAGTACTATACCTATTCGAAAAAATTATTACGTAATAATCACATTTGCCATAAAAACATAATAATTTGATATCAAGTTATGAATGAATGTAGAAGTATTTATTTCGAAGTGATACCAAAGAATTATTCGTATACAATAGCTTCAAACATACTCCCAACTAACGGGTTTTATTTTTACCTTAAATGAGTTTTATTTACCGTTTCCTGTTGTTTTATATCAATGTAAGTACTAATAGTTACTTAAAAATTAGAATACTTTTTACAAATTAAATTTTTCTGTACACTAGAAAAACTCACTAACATTGATGGTCCATATAATTGAAGCATATACAAGCATAAATATTCATCTGTGATCTGTTTTAAAATGTTTATTATTAAAGGAAAATTGACCGTAAAAAGAAACAGGTAATTACAAATGGCTAATGTCTTTAATGTTATAAAATCGTTCATAACTTCATTTTCTTTAGTCAACTTCACCGATCATGATAGTAGTCACAATATTTCAGATGATATGTGTATGGTTAAAGTATAGTTTTACATCAATAGATCAAATCTCGCATTTTAATTCCGTATTAAGATACACTAAAATCAACTGTTGCTTGTATGTAATCTAGTTTCATATGAACTATATATTCAATATAATTATATTGTATATGAAGTCTCTATTCAACAGTCTATATTATTATTAATGGCTTTATTGAATATTATATTTTGATACAATATAGAATTCTCAGCACAGGGTATTTCAACAAGTTTCTTACACACAAAAATCAGAAACAGGCAGCCCAGATATTCAAGCAGGCCGCCAGTTGTGAAACTATATATATATGTGCATTACCTGTTCAAATGTACAATTTATTACTGGATATCTAATTATAAATAATTCTTTAAAACTACATCCAATTAAATTATCACATATTCGTTGAATAGCTTCACCAACTTTCATTATAATTAAATTTTGATTAATTATTATATAAAATGGTAATAATGAATGTAATTCATTACTATTTATATTTGATTGAATAATATCATTAGATATACATAATGATTTAATATTTGGTAAATATTCTTTCATTTGTAATCTACCATTAAAACAATAAATTTTAAAGTAACTTTCAATAAACATTGATGATGATGGTGATAATGGTGGTGTGGATGATGATGGTAGTGGTGGTGGTGATGATGATGGTGATGATGATGTAACTAAGTTACAATTCTTTTGATGAATTAATTCAACTTGTATATTTAAATTATAAATTAATTTTGCTACATGAATTAATTGTCCTTTTACAAAATTTGTAAAATATTTACGTTTAGTACAATATAATAAATATAATAAATGATCATTTTCAATTTTAATAATAGTAAATAATGGTGATTTAATATATGGATAAATATATTTAATTTGTTTATGTATTTCATTTAAATTATTTAAAAAATCAATAAAATCTTTACCCATTACTTTTAATAATGTTATATAACCAGAATCAATTAAAAATTGTATAAAATATTGACCATTTTTAAAATATAAATCATTTATTGATTTATTTATTAATATTGATAAATAATTGATTAATTTTTCATATAATTCTTCTTGATATGTTTGATTAGTTTGAAATATTTTCTCTTTATTTATTACATGATATAAAATTTGTAACCATATATCATGATTATAAGTGGTTTCAATATATTTACGTAAACTTTCAAATAATAAACCATACATTATATAAATATAAGTGAAATGAATTGATTGATCACTGGGTGGTGATCAATGTCATGCGTGTCTAGTCCTTATTAATGCTGATCATATGCTATCGACTATCTAATCTCAAGTGAAATGAATACTATATACAAGGCATATTCTACTATTTATATGATCAAGATTAATCAGTTGAATATATATATATATATATATATATATATATATATCAATCAAAATGTTTATTCTTATTTTATAAAATAAATTAAATAACTACATAATATGATTGATAATGAGATGATGATGAAAATTTGTAGTTTAGGTGAATAATTTCAATGGAGTTTTATTCTTTGAATTCAAAGAGTAAAACTTCATCAAAATGATTGATAGTAGATATACATTGTTTTTTGTATTAGAAAGTAAACTGATGGATTACTTCAATGAAAATTATTGTTAATTTAATAAATTTCATTTTATTTTATGAATAATACAGAATAATACTATACTACTTTAATAGATTTAATAGTAGCATTAACTACTTAAAATATTATTCATTTATTTTGGAGACAGTAGGATAGTTATTTTGTCTTTTTCTTTCTTTCTTTCATATACATTAGACATAGGGATTAATTGCTTTACAATTCAAATATATCTGATAAAATAAATTTCAGTCATTAGTTAATTTGCTTGTTTTTTTGTAAAGTCTAAAATAGTTAGTTCTATTATGGTTTTCTATAAAAATGTCTTTCATTCATTATGATTCTAACATATAATACTCAAAATTGAGAACAATATGTATAAGATAATATAAACATCATCGTCATTCTTCCCTACAGTTTTTTCTCTTTATTTTTGTTTGGGTTGGTAATCCTTCTTTTTTTAAAAGAAAAAAAAATGTAAACATTATTATTTCAATAAGTGATTCTGGGTGGTATCCACTTCTTATCGTTTTTATTCATGAAATAATGTGATTTTTATTCATATTGTACGTACATAACCCATATTGGTTATGAATTACGAAAAGTTTCGAAATTTATAGAATTCGAGTCTAATTTTTATTTAATTTTTCAGTCCTATTCAGTGACGACATAAAGTTCTAATGGTTAAACAAACCTACCGTAGAAATAAGGATACTGAAATAAATAAGACAGTTTAGTTGATAGATCAAACTATAATGTACACAAAGTAAAGGTATATATATACGAATGTCTATCGAACCCAAACAACGATACGTAAACTGAAACCATGATCATGGCATAATCTAATTCATCCATTAGTATGCTATTTACGTAACTTCCAGCCTACCATTTGGTCCTGAGAAGACACGTGATTATCTGCTTCTTGAGATATCACGTAATGAGTCTACAAATGTTCAAACTATAACCCTCTTTTCCTAGAAGATTTCTGTTTTAGATTTCAGTTGAAGTGGAGTACACCAATTCTAGGGTTGAAACCTTATCATTTTGTCATATTTTGAGAAATTCAGTTTAAGTATACTTTCGAATCACAAGTCGAAACCTTTAAACCAACGAGTCAAAGGAGTGGTCTCATCTTAATTGATTACTCATTTGACAACAGCTATACAACCGCTGGAAACTATAAAACGATGGATAGCCAGTCCATCCTACTATGGGACTCCTTCGTTAACTGATTGTAGTTGAAAATGTAAAACTCTAAATACGCACTCAGTGGTCCAAAGTGATTGTTACGAGACCTAAAGTTTATTGATTGGTTCATAGTATCTTGATATTGTTTTTATTTTAGTCTTCTATCGGATTCTCTGATTTCCAGTCGTTTAGAAATCACAAAAAAATTAATCATATACCCCTATTACTCAGTTTTCAAACACTTTGAGATTCATTGTTGGACTGTGAAACGTATATTTGAGAGAAAATAAATAAAATGGTAGGAGGGGGTGAAAAACATAACAAATGATGAGAAAGTTGGAAAAATAATAAATAAATTCATTTATTAAGGCCAAAGGAGAGATAAAGGTGTTACAAATTTTTTCTGAACACAAAGACTTGGATTGTTGGCTCGGATTCCTATAGCTTCTGCTATGTGTAAGAGACGAGATCGAACATCTCAAAGGAAACTAGTGGGAATACGATAAATAACTTTAAATGACTTGTTTATGTCCACTACATGACCGCTGTCGATCAAGTGTGATAGAACCAAGCTGCTTATTTTCTTGACGTTACCTTTTCCTAGACACGAAGGGAGGTGTTCACTAACTCTTTGGTTCAGTTGCCTGGTAGTGCGCCCAATATAGCTTTCTCCATAGGAGCAGCTGAATTCGTAGGTACATATAGAAGTGGCATAACCAGGTAACTTATCCTTCAATTGCGGAATCACCATCGATCGGGTCGAACACGATAGGCAGAGGTCGGCAGCAATAAACGTTCTTTTTACTGATCTAGTCAATCTATCCCGTAATACATCGCTAGCTAAATCACCATTGAATTGCAGCTTCAAGAAAAGCGGTTTCTTATTAGCCGTCAGAGTCACTATTTTCTTGTTTTGTACCCGCAAGTGTATCTTCAGGAAACCTTGTGGATATCGCGATTCAGTCAACACATTATGAATGTGCTCTAATTCCTTATCAATTGTGTCAACTGAGCATATCTTAATAGCTCTATTTGCTTTTATTATTCTTATCAAAAACTAATGCACCTGATATCACACTACCAATTTGTACTTTTCACTTTTCACTTACTATGTAACCGTTTTCATAGTTATCATTGATTCATTGTTTGCAGTAATTCACTGTTCCGTATCTTTTGCGTGTAGTTATATGATTTTTTTAGTCGGAATAGCACGGAACAGAGAGTCATATCTGTTTAGTTTTTCTGGGTTTTTGATGGGTGGATCAGAATTGGCTGATAAATTTTGTATGAGCAGTTAGCCGTTTCAGTGAATACAGGAAGCAGTATTAGTGGAGTTATGGTGGGTATAAAGTGAAACATTTCATACGAATTTTCTTACTTACAAATCCGTTAGTTTCATGGAGAATGTTACTACTGTTATTTAGTTATATAATCGTATTCAAAAACTAAACTTTAACAGTGTTATATATTCGTCAACATTTTATCTTCTTTTTTTTGACATCATCTGTGGCATTGAACCAATAAGCTCAAATGTATCACAAATTGAAAACTTGTTCTTTGGAGTGGTTTTATCAAATCACCAGTTCAAACATGAACTCTGAGTGCTAAACCAGAATGTAAACTCTCTCATTCTTCCATATCCTTACTACTCTATGTAGTTTTTTTTATTATTTACCAGTCAATTGTTATTACACTCTCCTGACTTTGTTTAATAATTTTTTCATGATCTCTAGATTTTTAACTTCAAATTTGGCAAATGGACAATCATCTTTTATATTGCAGATCTATAATTTATTCATACCTTACTATTTTTCTTTAAACTTAAGACTGTTACATAACCGGGTTATAAGATTTTAAATCTTCAGATACTTTATGACGTATTCATATTCTCTCTTTTTCAATGAAATATATTCTACTTATTTTAAATCATTTTAAATACAATAAAATCATCATAAAGAAAAATTTCTTTAATTCATTGCTTTAATTTCTCCTTTAATTAACTGATGTATCAGAAGATTATAGCTATTCATATAAAAGAAGGGCGGTATTTAAAGTTAGTGATTTGTTTTGTTGTTGTTGTTGTTGTTTCTGTTTTCGGTCTCATCAATATATTAGGCTACTTGGTAATGAATGATGTTTATAAAATAAGTAATTTATTTTTATTTTTTAAAAACCTTTTCTTTTAGTTTTATATCATAATTAATTATAATTGAAATAATTGAATGATGGGCATCATAATGAACGTTTATTGTTTTTTTTTCTGTATAGTCAATCACTATTAAATTGGAAAGAGCTATGAAGATATCTTCATTGAATAGATTAATCGTTAATCCGATTAAATGACATTTAAGAAAAATAACTAAAATTAACCATTTGACACTAGTAAATATATATGGTTACTAAATAAAACTTGAAAGGTTTAAAAAGAAAAAGTGGTTCAACTTCCAGTGGTCATAATAAAAAATGCTCATAATTACATGGAAATATTAATCCGAGTTCAGAAGTTCATAACTATTTGTGTGTGTGTGTGTAGTACATCTTTGAAATTTTGTATTCACCTGTAGTCACAGTGTGTTTGCTTGAAAAGATATATATATATATATACGATTGGATGCCGGCTCATTGGTTCAATAGATTAGGCGTACGCGCACGACATTGGAGGCCCTGGGTTTGAATCCTGCGAGCGGGATCGTAGATGCGCACTGCTGAGGAGTCCCACAATAGGACGAAAGGGCCATCCAGTGCTTCCAGGTTTCCAACAGTGGTCTAACATTAATTGGTTCATGATCTTAATCAAAAAGTTAATAATCTCCACAATCCCTATACTGGTAATTTCATATGTAACGAAGATATTCATTATGAAGAACGTGTACAATGAAGTTTTATTTCTGTTTAATTAACTAATTAAGTTCTGCAAAAATAGTAAACAATTTTGATATAACAAATACAAGTATATATTTATCAAATGAAACTTTCTTACTATTTTGTCAACCTGCATAGTTTTATGTTTATCGATGAATTTCATTGTACAAATGACATATCAATTCATTTTTATGTTTATTAGCTTATTTCTATTTTAAACAGGGAACTAACATTATTTAATAATTATCCCCCTCAACAAATATTTAATCTAGGATTTAGAAATATCAACAAACTAACTGATGAACAGATATACTTTGATTTATAAATCTAATAGATAGTTTAATAGGTATCAATGAGTTACATTAGTATATCAAAAATGTAAAACAATAATATTTCAAGCATAATATAACAATATATCATAAAATAGGATTTCATATATATTAAAAACTTTTTTAAACTTACCTCTTCTAAATTTGATTTAATAAATGGTCTAAATAATAAGAACTTTTCATTAAAATCTGAACCTTCAAGAGATGAATCTAATTTACGAAATGATGTACTAGCTCGTTTAATTTTCATTTGATTTGTTATTAATAATGAAAAAGCGAATATATCAAAAAATACATTACTAGATATTGTATCACCCCAACTATCTAATGGTTTTTGTATATAATAATCTTGTGGATCAATCCATCGTTTACCATTTAATGCATATATATCATAAATCGTTTGATAAATATTATTAATAATTTTCGTACTAATTAATATTACTTTAATATCAAGATCATATAAACGTTTAGCTAATGTAATTAATTGTCCACGAACATAATGTATATATCCATTACGTTTTGATGAATATTTTAAACGTATACAATCATTTGTAGTATTTATAATAGAAAATGATGGTGGTTGAATATCTGGATAAGATAAACGTAAATATTCATGTAAATTATCTAAATTATGTAAAAACTTATAAAATCTCTTCCTTGTACACGTAATAAATTTCCATAACCATAATCAGATATAAATGCAGCAAATGATAAACCAGTTTGATAAGTTACATTTTCAATACTTTCACCAGTTTCATGACTAAATGCTAAAAATAAACGTTCTGGTACTGTATCAGAATAGATATTATGCGTTTGAAATGTTAATAAACCTATATTAGATTTTTCAACAATTCTAAACCATACATCTTCACCATAAATTGATTCAACATAATTTTGTATACCGATCACTATTAGTCCGTACATTTATAATAATAACTACTTTTAAATTTTCAACTAAATCAAATGTGTATATCAAATAATAAACTATTCAATAAGGATGATTGTTTTTATAATTCACTTTTATTTTCTTTTTTTTTAATTTGATTTTTGTTGTTGTTTTCGTTTTCGTTGTTTTGGTTTTTGTTGTTGTTGTTGTTGCCAAAAACAAACCAATCATATAAACTAATAATATAGAATAATAATAATTGGCCATTATTTATTGTCTCATTGTTATATAATATTAAAATTTATTTAATTCAAAATACTGTTTTATCTATTTATTATTGTTTTAATTGTTTATCATAAATATACATAAATATTTCTGTTTATTTAAGGTAAATAATTAATCAGTTTCAGTTTCATAATGACATGTATATCGTTTTCATTTATGATTGTTGAAATCTTTTAGCCCCCAAATGCCCTGGTACGGTCGAGAGTGGGGAGAGTCCGCTCAACCTCTCGAAGTAATCTCAAATGACCACGTGTATATAGCCTCTGTCAGGGAAGTCCTACTCACTACCTTCTCGTGGAGGGGGGTTGTTAACGAAATTGAGAGGATGAAAAGCGAATGTCCGGCGCTTTAACCGGGTTGGTAGACATCGAGAGTCCACCTAGGGGAGTTTGAAAACCCTGATTCCAAACCAACTGAGAACATGGGCTCCAGCACACTGAGTGAACAAATGGCGTATGAACCAATCGTTGGTCACCGGCTACCGTGGGACTGCATCTCCTTACGATGCTCCACTGCCTTGTGCATCAGGTCGAAGGCTCCGAGAGTGGCCCCCCAAGTGAACCACTTGCTTCTGTTTGTGCACCAGGGTAGTATCACAGCCCTCACACATATCAAATAAGATTTGTGTGGCGCATTTGTATTTGGTGCCTCCTTGTACCAATATCTATGTGTTAAAATAAATAATCTGTTTATAAATAACAGTGATGAATATTTAACCATATATTTTAATTTAGATGACCATAATTACAACAGATACTTTAGTGAACGAGAATAGAAATGAGAATAATTGAATATACTTGAATACAAACTTATAGAACATGTTAATAAAAATCTGAGAATCATACAGTAAATTGTTTATTTATAAAATATGTCAATCAATTATCTCAAACTTGATTATACCTTTAGCAAAATGTCAATTAATTGTCGCAGAATCATTGTTCTTTTGTTCCCATATCAATCTTTTTTTCAAAAATTTTTTATTCTCTTTACATTGATCTTAACTTTCTACCACCAAAACATTTCACTTTCGATTAATGATGCATACTACTTATATCTATGGACATTAGTAGCACACATTACAATATACTTTAGAAATAGTGTTTTTTTTTCTCAGTAAAATAAACAAAATTGGAACTTTCATGAAAGGAGTAAATTTAAATAGTTGAAAGTTTGAATTCATAATATGTATACATAGTTTGTAACATATACATTATTTGTTTTCAGTTATTTACTGTCTTTTGTTTTTACATTTCTGAATAAGTGTTTACTGACTAGTGAAAAATGTTTTAAAGAATATTTGTTTATATTATTTCTATAGTTATACTAGTTAAATCTTAACTCCACCTGGAGTCCCCTCGGGGGCTACTGCCGGTCCCAAGCCCGGATAAAGGAGGAGGGTTGGGCATGGGGTTAGCGTCCCCATCCCGTAGAAAACTAACTCGCTAAAAAAACGCTAACCAGAAAGTAGTACTAGTTAAATCTTATTTAGATTTGAAAAAGAACTTGTTATACACAACTTTGCAGTGAATTTAGACTATACTATTTAGAATACATTAATGATGATGATGATGATTTTGAATTAAATCAAATAATGGAAGCTGATAAACTTAATTAATCCTATTTGTTACTTATCATATGGATTTATTTCATCCTATTATATTTTGAACCAAACTTAAATCCACTATTCATTGATTTGAATGCTGGATTATTATAGTTATTCATAACATTTTCATTACTAAAAAAAATTCTACACTTCACTGTTAACAACTAGACACTTAAATCAACAGTTGACCAACGCTAATTTTGATCTATGATCAATTAATGTGTTCATATTATTCTACGAATTATAACCCATCGATTCCATTGAGAATGTTTACATTCACAGAAAATACTTAAAGTACTAGTATAAATCTTACTACATGTTCATCATTCCTTTCTTCCTACTGAATATATTTTAGACCATTTAAATTTTTCGAATTATACTATTCCAATTTATTTATAATGTGATGTTTATTTAGATGGTTTTTTAACATGTTATGAGTAGGTATTAACTTATTTATATTCAAAAGTTTACATATACTCAGGAACATACGATCAGAAACTAATAACCTACATCTTATTTTAAACTTTTCACTATTAAGCGTTCATGATTATGCTAGGGGTCGTACCTGAAACAGTCACAAAAATATTGTTAACAAAGTGTGATAAGATTTTAATTCGATAGAATATTATGTAACCAGGATATTTTTTACGGTGTCTTTCTTAAATGTAGATTATTATAGTTTGCATTTTTAGCGGGCAATCAAACCAACCTCCTTAGCAAATAACACTCATTCTTTATGATCATAAAGCGTAATAGAAAACAGTATTTTCTTTCTAGTCCAATTTTAATGTTCTAATTATTAAGCACTTAATTTCCATAGAATAGAACCTCATGCATACACAGATTTATATTTAACGAATAAAAAAAATTGAAGGCGAATGATCAGACCTATATATTTACTTGTCCGTTTTTTGAACATTCATTATTCGAATAGCATCGTATAAACAGTAGGATCGGAACTGTAATGCAAATATCCCAATGTTTTGAGCGAAAGGCTTTATTTAATATTTATAATAGGATTACCTTCACCTATAGCAAACACCCACTCAAATGTGTATCATACATGAATTTACACCACAAGTCTGTACAGCTTGTGTTAGAACTAGTGTAAGGCAGAATAGCTATATGACAATTAATTATTCTTTACTTATTCTTTTGATTGATTACCAGTTTTCATTTATGATCAATTTCCATACCTGTGTGACATTTTATTTGTCTATCTTTTAGAACTATTTACTTGGACTACATAAATTCATTCAAAATCCATACAACAATTATAAGCTACGTCAATTCACACACCATACAATGTTGTCTATTCACTATACATTACATACAACGGTTCATTCTCATTAGCCTCTGATCTGATCTACTGATTGATGTACTTGAAATATATTATTCTCTATATCCTCGTGTTTTTGCCAGTGGTATTTGAGTTGACCGGTTATACGATATTACTCGAGATAATCATGTATAGAATTCAGTTTAGTCCTAGTTATATTAACTATTCGTATAACTTTTTCTACATTTTAATGAGTACTGATGTTATTAGTAGAACTAGAGTCTAGTATACATTGTTTCATATAACTAAATGTTATACAATGTATTAGTAACTTAAATTTCTCAATTTTGCTATCAAAAGTTCCGTGGCATGGTTATTATCGTTCACTAACGCTCCTTTAGGATGCTATCAGACAAAATTATTTATTTACATCTTTTGGATATTCAAAGTAGTTACCCTCGTTTTGAAAGTGATGTGTTTTGATATGATATACATATTTTTTTACTTTAGAATGAATAGAATATTCCATTTTATTGTGGAAATTGCCTTTCTCAAATTTTTGTTTCTCAGTGGTCAGCCTTAGTTTCTATTCTAAAAACTTTTGATTATAAAAATCTCTTATTTCAATGATCTCATGTGGTGTTGAATGAACTGATGATTCCTTTGTACTTGTTGAATGCCTGATTTCGGATTCTAAATACAGTACACTCGATCGTGCTTGTCTAGTACTTCTTGATGCAATTACGTCATTTCTGGGATTCTTAGTTCATACTATAATTCAAATACTCCTAATCATCATAATGGCGTCGCTATGGAGCCTGTGATGGAATTGTCGGATATACATTCAGATTTTGATGCTTTTGAGGATTACTTTGAAAGGTTCGAAATTTGGGCTATGACCAAGAAAGATAATGAGGATGTTAATATTGTGGCACATTTCCTCACATTCGTCGGAAAAGAAGCATATAGCTTATTAAAAACTCTGGCTTTACCGGAAAAGTCCATTTCGCTTCCTTATACAACTCTCAAGGATCTACTGCTAGACTATGTTAAGTATGCAAATTTCTATTGCGGTTACTTACTTACTTACTTACGCCTGTTACTCCCAATGGAGCATAGGCCGCTGACCAGCATTCTCCAACCCACTCTGTCCTGGGCCTTCTTTTCTAGTTCCATCCAATTTTTGTTCATTTTTCTCATGTCTATCTCCATTTCTCGGCGTAATGTGTTCTTTGGTCTTCCTCTTTTCCTTTGGCCTTCAGGATTCCATGTGAGGGCTTGTCTTGTGACGCAGTTGGGTGCTTTCCTCAATGTGTGTCCTATCCACTTCCAGCGCTTCTTCCTGATTTCTTCCTCCGCTGGGATCTGGTTTGTTCTCTCCCACAGTACGTTGTTGCTAATAGTGTCCGGCCAACGGATCTGAAGTATTTTGCGTAGACAACTGTTAATAAACACCTGTATTTTCTGGATGATGGCTTTCGTAGTTCTCCAGGTTTCTGCCCCATACAGTAGAACTGTCTTGACATTTGTATTGAAAATCCTGACCTTGGTGTTGGTTGACAGTTGCTTTGAGTTCCAGATGTTCCTCAGTTGTAAATATGCTGCTCTTGCTTTGCCGATCCGCGCCTTCACATCTGCATCAGATCCACCCTGTTCATCAATGATGCTGCCCAAATATGTAAAGGTTTTTACATCTTCCAAATCTTCTCCGTCAATTGTGATTGGATTGGTGCATTCTGTGTTGTATCGGAGAATCCTGCTTTTCCCTTTGTGTATATTGAGACCTACTGCTGCTCACACTGGTCGTCTTCTCCTGCATTTGTTGTTGCGTTTGGGATAGAAGGGCCAGATCATCTGCGAAGTCTAGATCG